CTCAAATGGAAGTTTCTGTGATTGGAAATCCTCAGACGAGGATCTTTAGAACAGAATTAGCGTACAAGGTGAACAGATTATGCGTTGGGTCTGAATCTAATTCGATCAAATCGAGAAATCGAGTTAGTTTCTATAGAGAAACTTCGAAAAGGAACGAGATTAGGCTCCGTTGGTCGCAGAGATCTATCAGATGCGAAGCCTTCGTCTCCGATAAAGCTCCGTTCTTGAAACCAACCCCAAGATCTAGATCGGTAATTTATAAATCAAATTTCTTTAGATTAAGCAAATGTTTGTGAAATTGCTTGCCTCTGAATCTCCGTTGTTTTACTTTACAGCTCGAGAGCGTAAGATTATTCGTTGGTCTTCCTTTGGACACAGTTTCAGACTGTAATAACGTAAACCACGAGAAAGCCATTACTGCAGGACTCAGAGCTTTGAAGCTTCTCGGAGTAGAAGGCGTTGAGCTACCAATTTTCTGGGGAGTAGCTGAGAGAGAATCCTCAGGAAAGTACCAGTGGTCTGGTTACTTAGCCATTGCAGAGATTGTGAAAAAAATGGGTCTTAAGCTTCACGTTTCACTATGTTTCCATGGCTCCAAACAATCAGAAATATCACTCCCGGATTGGGTTACTCGTGTTGGAGAAACCGAACCTGGGATCTATTTTACGGATCGGTCTGGGAGTCAGTACAAAGAGTGTTTGTCGTTTGGAGTTGATGATGTTCTTGTTCTTGATGGGAAGACTCCTATGGAAGTTTATAGAGGTTTCTTTGAGAGCTTCAAGTCATCTTTCTCTGGATTTTTGGGGAGCACAATCACTGGAGTCACTATTGGTTTGGGACCGGACGGTGAGCTGAAATACCCTTCTCATCAAAACAGGAAACACTCAGGCGGTGCAGGAGAGTTTCAGTGCTATGATAAGCACATGCTTTCTGCTCTTAAGCACTATGCTGAAGCTAATGGAAACCCGCTTTGGGGACTTGGTGGTCCGCATGATGCTCCTTCTTATGATCAAGAACCTAGTTCCTCTCATTTTTTTTCGGATGGTGGATCATGGGAATCAGAATATGGTGATTTCTTCCTTTCTTGGTACTCGTCTCTTCTTGTCTCTCACGCAGACCGAGTCCTTTCTCTTGCATCTTCTACATTTAGCGGTACTGGATTGCCTCTATGTGGGAAGTTACCTCTCTTGCACCAGTGGAACAAGCTACGTTCTAGGCCTTCTGAGTTAATGGCTGGATTCTACTGCAATGGGGACTATGACAGGTATGAAGCTGTTGCAGAGACCTTTGGAAAGAACTCTTGTAGAATGATACTGCCTGGTATGGATTTATCAGACGAGCATCAATCTCCGGAAACTCTCTCGAGCCCCGAGTCATTGCTTGCCCACATCAAGACTTCTTGCAAGCAACATGGAGTCATTGTTTCAGGACAAAACTCATCCGACGCGATCCTTAGTGGGTTTGAGAGGATCATAGAGAACTTAAAGGATGAGAATGCAGCGATAGATCTGTTCACGTACCAGAGAATGGGGGCATTTTTCTTTTCCCCAGATCATTTCCATGCCTTCACAATGTTTGTTCGAAACCTTAGCCAGTTTAAGCTACCGGAAGATGATCTTCGAGCAGAGGAAGCAGAGGAGGATGATGCAACCAAGACGCTAAACACAAGTATGCAAGCTGCTTAAGTCTTTGAGTCACTGTAGATTATATATTTGTATATAATAAAGAAAAGCATAATCCAGAAACTTTAGAGAGAGAGAGATTACAGATCTTCTGTTCCAGAGTAAATTATTTTGTGTAAAATTTTTATAGTCAAATTCATTAATTTATATAAACTTCGCCAGTTTCTGCAAAGCCACATCTTAACATCAAAGACAGAAAGAAAAGATACACAGACATATTTGAATGGTAACAGCAATAAGTACAAGGAGGTGGTTAAGGTTTGTCTTTTCATCATTCACAGGCGATTCTGGTCTCAAAACTGCTCAGGCAAATGGCAAACGCTTGAAACGCAGAAATCGGATATCCATAATCCATAGTGAACATGTCCTTCCCGACTTTCCCAAACTGGAGGATGATCCTCTCAGATGGCTGCTCTGTTTCACAATCGCTGACCGCCACAAGCTGAAAGTTCTTAACCGAAGCCACTGTGACTCGACCATGGAAATTTAAGCACCAGCAACGCAGCTGCTCATGCCATCGTGGAGTCTTGTTGCTCAGGACCAATGGTGGAGCTCTCAAGTTGTTGCCTGAGTTGCTGCAAGATGAGTTGCTTCCCCCCACTGGTTTTGAGTGTGACCTAAAGAACGGTGATGACCGAGTGGGAAAGGAGCTTATGGATGTAGAAGCTACTCCTCGGGGCTCCACAATGCTCAAAGGTACTGTATCCATTAGGCAACGCATTCTTCTTGGTCCCCTATTGTTATACCATCAAGAGAGTAGACTTGTAAAGATTAGACATGAACAAAAGACTTGAGAAGAATTTCATTTTCAAATGTGAAGATTATTCACCGGGAGCCTAAGACGTTTAGCTCGTATGAAATGTGAGCGACAGGGTAACTTCCCTGAGGAACTCTAGGAGAAACTTTCATGAGATTAGAAGAGCGGCTCTTCAGCATCTTAGCTGCTCCGGTCTGTGGCATCAGATTACCGTCAAAGACCGTGAATTTTGTTCCAAGGAAGTTTGATCTTGCAAATAACAACAAGAGAGTGTAGATGATTAACACCAAAAGAAGAAAGTTTGAAAGAAGCATACTTTTATATAGCTTTATTTATATTCTGCTCAAATTCCATGAATATAGCAACCCTCTTAATCTAGTGCTCATAACTTAACTAATTATCAACTCAAGAAGCTAGAACTCTTTTTGTACTCTTTCAGACAAGTTGGAATTCCAGCAAATAAGAAACCATTATCAAATATTGTCAAACTAGTGTGTATTTAGATCATATCTGCAATGCATATCAAAACAGCTTAACCACTAGATTATCATAAGTGTACACACACTCTTCAGGTAGTAACCATATTCTAAACAATGAGATAGTAAATAACTGGATACCTCACTCTGCCGAGATATGCGTTGCTTTTCCTGGACATATCGTCTGAATGCAAAGAAACGATGTAATCAGTGCAAGTTGCGCGCTTCAGCTTACAAGCAGCAAGAAGAAACTTCCCGTTATCCGTCAAAGCTGCCAGAAAATCAAAAGAAGGATTATTGTTAACAAATTTTCAGAACTCGAAAACCAGTAATAGTCTCCGAGTGTAGTATTTTTCTTGATAAAACCCCGGCCAAATAACAGATGGTAGCTTACAGTTGGTTAACCCGAGATAGAGATGATATGATTGCGTATTTCGATTACGTTTTATAAAGCATTGAACCAGAGAATCCCTTGGTCCAGGCTGCATAGAATACATTCAAAAACACCAATCCTTCAGCTTTTTTTTTTCTTTTGTTTACAACACAATCTAATGTGAAAACGCAAACACAATCTAACAAAGCCATGAGTTTTAACATAAGAACACTTCAAAACGTCAAGTGAGATGATCACAGTTTAGAAAACCACTCTGCGTTTAGCACAAAACGCCAACGCAAACGCTGCTGAATTTTCATATGCCATGTGATAAGGTTTACACACATCAGTAAATCCAGTCGCCAATTTTCTCTTGAACTGAATCCATCAATCAAAAAGACAAAAAGAGTAGCCTTTTTTTTCTTACTACTTATAGAATTATAGATAAAGAAACTAACTTTATGTCTTAATTTCATCAAATAGACTCAATTTAATAGACAAAGACCTGCTTGAGAGAGATAGGGAAAGTCAATTTTGAGGATATTTCAGGAACAGAGACGATCTCTTGCATAAGCAACCGCCAAGCACGGCAAACGCCGGCGCAAGCCACCACGTTTCGCCGCGACGGCCAATCGCCGTCGCCCGCCGTCTCGACCCTAATCAGAATCTCTCTGAGCAGCTCCTCCGGGAGCTCCGACCATCGGAAAGATTCCGAACCAGAAGCTGTTGAAGCTGCGTCGTGGACCACGCGGTGTGGTCTAGACCGCATTTCCTGGATCAGACTTCGGATCGTCATGCGATTCCGGTGAGATCTAAAGGGTTTAAGAGATGATGATTGTTGATCATGGAGAGATGATCTTGGACTCTTGGTTCTTTTACGGAAGAATCATTTGGTGAGAAGTTGAGGTGAAGAAGTTAGGAGAGGTTGTGTTGGTCTTGTTGAGAGACGCGAAGAAGATTCGGACAATAATGGAGGC